CTTAAAACATTATCTTAAAATACCTTCATTTTGGTTCAATTAAAATTTCTCTAATACTAAAAATTAAATTATTACATGATGTAAACTATCAGGAGCAATTCAACCAATATGTAAAAAGTTATTTGCTTTTAATATAGCCTACTATATGGATTCTAGTGTATATGTAAAATAATTATTTTATAAATTAAGTATACATTTATTTATCCTTAAAAAACATTACTTAGCTGTCTTATTTAAAATAGCAAGCTAAGGCGTATCATTATCATAACAACTCATGTCATTAAGAAGCCCACACCAAATTTATTTCAGGTGTTCAAACAAGGACAATAATCCACATTCTGCAATTTTACACTTCAGATTCATGCTCTTAACTGTTACTTTAATGTAACAAAATTTTTTGTAAGTATTTTGATACTTAAAGATTAATGTAAAACATTAAAATATAGAAACATCTTTTTTTTTTAGAAACTAACATCTTAAAATAGATGATAAACATATCATATTTCTAATGATCATTAAAAATTTTGTAGTAAAATACCATGTCTTTTTTACCTCATTAATAGAATAAAAAATTCCAAGATGTATTTGTTACTACAGGACTAAAAACACAAATGTACTTTTAATATATGACTATATCTTTGTGTATTTAAAGATTACTATTTGTGACATATTTAAAGTGTTATTTGTTATATCTTTTCATCTAGAATGTTGTAACTGAGTTATGTGTTGATGGCATTATTAGTTCCACAATTTCAGGGCTTTGTAAAATACCTAAATAAACATTGATTATATTGTGACAGAAGTTAATTAGTAATATAAATATCCTTTGTCTATTGAAAAAAACAAGACAATTCAAGTGATGGCATCCATCCCTTCAATACTGAGAATTTCAGAATTTTGTCATGGCAACTCTGAAAATCCACAGAATTGATTTCCTGTGAACTAAAATTCATAACTTTATAAATTTCATAATTCCACTCCCCATCTACCCATACAATTTGTCTACATTCTCTCCAGGGGCCCCAGGCAGATCTTCCTGTAAAGGATATCCATGTGATAGCTTTCAACTTCCTGACCTGACCTGTCAATCAAGTTAACTACAAATATTCTCCTGACAGGTTAAATGGACTCACAAACTGTGAACCTATTAATGAAGCAATGAAAAGAAAGATCTTACCATTTATAACTTGGTAATACCAACACTAAAGTAAGTTTCTAAGTTGTTGTCACTTGCCACTAGAGAAACTCTGATTCATAACAACCTCCAGACAACAGGGAGAAACTTTGTCTAGCACCATCCTCAGGAAGAAGCGAGTAATAAAAGAATTTATTTAGAGTTGCTGAAATTATTTACTTAGAGTTGTTGATAAAAATATTTTTTATAGCCTTGAAAATGTTCTTTCAGTGAAGGGCATTGCCTCTTTTTAGCTTTCACAAACATAAAAACTAAATAAAAAAAAGCAATGGTCAAGGTTATTTGAGGGAGAGGGGAAAGTTATTTTGCAAGAAGTCTTGGAAAACATAGTTTAAGACATTGTGCTCTATTGGAAAAAGGTGAAAAAAAATTAAAAAAGCAAGGTTCTATCACTAAAGGGAAAATCCGAAAATGATCCTTATTGGAAAAATATGTTTGCTAAAGTAACTTTAGTCTTACAAAGAGGAATGACATTTTCTCATACAATAGCATCGAGCCCATAGTTTTTCCTTTGATCTCTCAAATTGGATTTGTTTATATTATTCCATTGTAGGGCAGTGTGGTGTAATAGAAATAAAAGGAGAACCCTGCAATTTCAAATTTTCTCATGTTGTTGCTGAGCACCACTGAGTCAGAACCAAGCCACAACTCATCCTCCACCAGGTTTTTAGAGGCAGTAAATTACATAGGAGGAGACTGCCAACCTTTTTTCATGGGGCTAATTAGTGGATCTGAACCACAAGCCTTTGGGATTGCAGCCCACGTCTTCACTACTTGGCCACCAGACCTCTCCAATAGTAATATTTAAAAAGTTTAAAATTAAGTGAAACTAATTTTAAGAATTCATTAAAGCCAATTTTTGAAAAATATATTTTCAATGTTGTTTAACCACTATAAAGTTACTATAAAGAAGCTTGCCTTTTCTGGCACTGAGTCTTTTAAGTCTGGTGTTTATTTTATACTTACAGCATTTCTCAATTCAGAGTGGCCATAAAATGTTCACTAGTCCCATGTGGCTACTAGACTACTGCACTGGACAAGTCAGGTCTAGACGGACTTCCCCTCTCCCTTCATAGACTTGATAATTTACATATTTCCCCCCCTTTTTTCAAGCCCTTCTTTAACATACATTTGTTTACATATTATGTGATATATGTGTTAGTTAAGAACTGCATGAACCTGAGATTTTTATGTAGCACCTACTATGTTGTTAACACAGAGTGATAATGTTAAACAAGAAAAGCAACTCTCAGAGGTTCAGCAATTTCTGAGTTCAGGTCATTGGCTAAGTGTCTTGCTTTGTTCAGTGTACTGCGGATGGACTGACCAGAATACGACAAAACCCCTGTAATCACTAAGAATCATATTACAACATTTGTATAATTCAGGACAAGTCTTAATACAGAACTCTTTGGCACTTACAATCTGTTAAATAAACTGCTACTGAATAAGCTAAGATCTCAGTGTTCCAGAGGCTTATTCTGCATTTGAGTGAAATGATTGTCCAAAAGACATTATTGAGAGAGCAGATATTAGTTTCAGACACATCTGGAATCCATGACATGAGCAGCTGGCATCGACAAACCATTGATGAAGATGAGTCGATGTATTCAGCAGCATGGAGCACTATGTTGTCAAGGACTTTACAGGAGACACTGAGACGAACATGTTTCAAGACACTAATACATTCACACAGGAGAACGAGTAATAATGTGATATGGGTACACAAACTGAATGCTGGTCACCATGGCAAGTACTCACTTTTTCAGATCATTCTGCTTCTTTTTGGCTTGTGCACACCACTAGTGCATAACAGGGAAGAAACCACTTGTATATAGTGGGAAAAGTACGTAACTAATACAACTGCATTTTACTGAGAAATAATTGCATCACAACTGTCATTGAATTAATTCCATAAAGTTATCAACAAAACAGGTGCATTACATTTTTATGAATCAGAACTGTCTGCTGATTCATAAACTGATCAGATGTAATAAGACTATGATGCATCAAAGAAAGCATTATATAATCTTCATGCAGTAAAATTGTAACTAGCATTTAAAAACAGTTAACGCAACATTAGACAGAGATTAAAGAAGGAACTTGGTATACACAAATGTTCTGAATATGAGAAAATGACAAGAATCACAATTTATTTTCTAAATTAAAATGTCAAAAGTAGTATTTTAGATGAAATTTTAAAGTCAAGCTTAGTGATGATTTTTGACCCTTTGAAAAGGACTACTGGAAAGCACACAGCCGCATGGCTTTGGGAATAAAGAATTTGGGGATTTGAAGTGTGTCCTAAATTTTCATGTCCTAAGATCATATGCTGCAGCACAGCAGTGCTAATTTCAAATTTGGATAGGCCACAGCTATTGATTTAGGTGACTTTTGTCATTATTGGAAAACTCAATATTCCTCAACTCACAAGTGGCACACATCCGAGGAACTCTGGGCTGGATGGTTTGGACATGGGATTCTACAAAAATCGGACTCTACCAAGCAAGTGATTACTGCTAAAACATGTAGATTAAGAAAAGAATGAAGAACTTGGTAAATACCAAACAAATTTCTTTTTTTTTTGCCTGTTTTCATAATAAAACAAATTTCTTTTTAATTATTACTATGTGCAGAGAAGCATCTCTTCTTCAAAATTTATCCAAGTCCTAGGGAGTTTTAATAATTTTTTATTATTCAATTTTGATGTGCCATGTTGTCATAATTTCCACTACTTATCACATAGTATTTAGAATGAAATAAAACCACACATGTTAACAGCAGCTGGAGATAAGATCTGCTGACATTCTAAAAAGAAGTTGCCATAATATAGCTTGTGATATGAATGTCTTTATGAGCACTGTAAATGGACATTTTCCCAATTCTAGAAATGTTCATATAATGGGAACGGAATCACTACATTTACCATGGCATTAGGGGAAAAAAATGAAATGTTTAAAATAACATTCTAATCTAAATTAAAAGATAAATGTAAGTAAAATATTTTTAATTTAAGAATTTAAGACTGGTAGCTCCACAGAGTGGGGATGATCACATTATACATATTTATGTGGATTTTACAGGGTGTTTCAAAAGTCCCTAAGGACATACAAGATTCAGTCGAAGCGTGTCTTTGCATACAAATGCAAACTTTTTTCTATACTTGTTATAATAAATGCTGAAAATGGCCCTCATGTGCTTAAAATAGACATGATATTTTGGTTGTCAAGGTCACTAAGTATAAGAGGTCATAAATGCCATTTTCTGCATGGAGACTCGGGGACTTCTGGCTCATTCCTGTAAACTGGTTATCTACATAAATATGTATACACATATATGTAGTATGCATAGTCACAACATAAAAGTATTTCACATTTAAGAAAATTTAGGCATTCTACTGGTAAACTGACATATGTATACAATATAACTTGTATTTATTCATAGGAATTTGAATTGTTGTTCAAATGTACCATTAGCTTGTTATTTCTTTCCCAAAGTTATTATCAAGACTCCTTTATAAAGAAGTAACATGTTTTACTTGCATGTACATTTTCTTCTTTTTAAGCTGAAGTTGAGTAATTGAAAATTAATATTCACAAATAAGTAACTAAATGACGGAATTTTCTTTTTTTAATCAATTTTGGTTTTCATTTTATATTTGCATAATTGTTTCAGTGAAATTCTTTTTATAAGAAAAATTGGTTGACGAGTTAATGGTTTGTTGGCTTGTTTCTAGTTAACAATCACAAACTCTGATATATTAACATATGTCAGCTTCCTACAGGAACCCTATTGGTCTGCCCACCTGTGATGTCATAGTAAGGAGGGGCTTTTCTTCAGCAGACTCCTCCCTCGGTATCTCCTTCATCACCATGGCAACAGCCTTATCTGCCGCCCTAGAGCCTTTTCCCTATAACAGTGAAATCAACAATGACGTGTGTCAGGAGAAATTTTTTAACTTAATATTTATTACAAGATACTCTAATGTTTAATGAGCAATCCAACATAAATGAAGAGGTAGGCTGCTGGAAGTGAATCTTGAGGCTTTTGGCTGAGGAGAAAACACAAAAAGTCTGAAAAAAAATTATTTGTGAACTTTGAATTATCTCTTTTTTAAAAAAAATTACCTTTACAGCTGACATATTTAATTTTAACATAGTATTTTATATGTAAAATATATTTAAGACAATTTAACCTAACAAGAACATTTTTTTTTGGTAGGCTCAGTTTAAAACCACTTTGGATTGCCTATTAAGTTCATTTAGAAAATGATATGATCTATAAATATTGAGGACAATGAGAAATCTGGGGCAAGGTTAGGATTATGACCTGACACCACAGAAAGCATCTGTTGAGTGCTCTTTGGAGGATGCCATTTTTGAGTGGACTGGGCACAAAATGGGTAAAAATATCAAAAAAGCTCTAAAAAGTTTCCAGTGACCTGACATCACAAGAATTCACCCAGTTTATTTCATGGAAATAATAAAGCCTTGGTCAAAGGGAAAAGGTACTTTCAACGTTTTTGAGATTAGGAATGTTTAATTGAAACACAGAAATATCTTTCAGGGAATCTCATAAATCAAGTGTAAGTAAAGGATAACTAATAATAAAGGCACCAATATGTAGAGATATGTACACACATACACACATCCATATATATATATATATAAAATACATGTGTAAATATGTATGTATGTATGCACATACACCTTCGTTGTTTATCTCATGCCACAGAATTAAGGGTTGTAAAGGGATAAGATGGTTTTTCATCTTGCAAGTTTACCAAATATTGAGTTTTGATAGTGTATTAGGAATGCTGGAAAAAACAAAAGTAAATTCTTCCCAGATCAATTAGAAGCATTTCATACTATGTAAAAATTAAATTATCTTTAAACCTTTCAAAACAAAACCTCCCATTTTCTCAGGTCTCTGGGAAAGCTTCCCTGGAGAAAATAATTGTATCCCAAGAGCATACAGGAGAACTGTATTATAAACCTCCTTAAAATACTAATGTTGACTACAGAAACATCATAGACAAAAAAATCAAAACAAACCCCACCCCACCCCCATTACCCCAACCACCCAAAAATGGACATAATGGGCCCATTGTCAGAAAAAGGAATTAAGATCCAGGTTCATGATTAATTCTAGAGGTTAATAAATATCGATTGTTTCTATACAGTGATAAAAAGAATGTTACCATTATCTTGGGATTGCACAAGGCTTTAAGTATTAAAGGTTTACACTAGCAAAGAAAACTGTCCATTTTCTTAAGTGTTGCCGTCTGAAATATCACAGTGACAGCTTTTATTTAGTTTTATAGAAAAACTTTCTATAAAGTTCTAGATACTAAAATGTGTGAATCTGTTTAGAGTATCAAACGTTTACATCTTTGGTTTGTTTTGACTAGCTAGCCTTATTGAATAACAATACTCTTTCTGAGATGGAATATCAAGTACTAGAGATTTTTCAGCACATATAATAACAGTGACCTTCATATGTGTCCTGAACGGTGTAAATGGCCACAACACTTAGATAAAATGACTGCTAGAAAAATAAAGGGAACCTCAATAGTTCACAGCATAACAAATTGAGGTGCATAGTGATCCCAGGTTTCTTTAATGAAGTAATGTGAATTTCCAAAAATGGAGATACATATCTGTATTCTGAGAAAACATGATGAACTATTGAACTAGTTAACATTGTCTCAAAATGTAAAATAATCATTTTATGATATATACTATACGCTTTGTACACCTTTAAAAGTTATACTCATTTACAGACTAAATATATTTTATAACAAATTCTTTTGCAGCATTTTTTTCCAAAAGAGTAAAATCATCTGTGAAGAAGTCTTTCATGCTCTGAAAAGTTCTAATAATATAGCAATAAACAAAGTTGCATGCTTATATTTAAATTCCTGATATATCTAAAGGAACAAAGCCAATGTTACCAGGTATATTCCAAAATAAAAATAAAAGTCTGTCCTTGGGCTAAGAAAAAGTCAGTATCAATTGATAAGCATCTCAAAGACTTTAGGTCAATTTTTCCAAATACTATTGATTTGAAATGCTACCAATCCATAAACTACACATAGATAGTTTTTACATGTGCAACTAGAATAGCTAGAATTAGCAACGGACATGCCATTTCACTAAAACAAAAACAAAAACAAAAACAAAAACAAAACAAAAATTAGTCCTTTCATGCTGAACTCTAGAACAAAGCATTGGTCAGCTAGAAAGGATGTATAATAAACACATGCGGTGCTTTTATTTCTTGCAGAAAAAACCCACCAAAGCCAGGGTCAGGTCACTTTTTTGAAGACAGTGCCACTTTTTCTTCAAGGTTACACCTACTACCTGAAAAGAGTTATGACACCCATGTTAGTGCCTGCTAGAAACTTTATTTCCTTACAGCTTCTGGCTGTTGTGATAATATCTCATGAAGCTCACTGTCTTATAAGCGTGGTACAATGCAGGGACAGAATGGGCAGGCCTGTCATACTGACATCTCCACTGCTCCAGATAGATTGTCTAAAACCACTGCCACATCGAGTGGCTGCATTCATAGATCAAAGCAAGATGTTTCCCTTGATTGCATTGCCACCTCCACCTGGTATCTTAAAATCAAGCTGTGTTAGTTTTGACTTGTCCATTTATCTTGCGGCATAAAGCTTTTAGAATGCAGAACCTGGCTGGTTACTGAGCTGGCAATTCATGAAACTGTACAAGTCATATCTGTAGCTCTACAAGGAGGACAGTAATACAGACACATATGGATCTTTTTTGCACTAGTTTAAAATATTTTAATAAAAAGATACGCATGCACAATTATTTAGACTTCAAACTCAATCTTCTAATAAAATCATACTAAAGGTTGATATTGATCTATTATTTAAAAGAACAAAAGGATAGTAGAAATAAAATGTACATACAGATAAACATTAAGTCATAAACATATGCGTGCACACAAATAGTTTTGGATTACATTAAGTTTGTATGTTTCTACATCATTCTTGCAACAATAAAGATGGTATTTTAGAAGGTGACATTACATTGCAACACTTTTCCACAATCATTTCAGTCTATTTACTTTCAAAATAATCTCATGGTTTGCTAATTTTTTTTTTAAGGACACTTGGTAGCTTAGTGGAGAAAGATGTGGCAGTTTGCTCTTGTAGAGATTTACAAACTCAGAAACTCCAAGGGAGTAGTGCAACTTCTTCCTACATGGTCACTAGGAGTTGGGATTGATTCAATGGCAATGAGTTTTGTGTATTTAATTTCATGAGCAATTTTTGACTATTTGGAAAACAGTATCAGTGCAAGGGAAAACTATTTTTCTTGGCATTATTATTGTGGAAATGCTTTACTATTTATATTCATTTTTCCTCACAAATGAAATAAAAGGTAAGAGATACATTTGCTAACAAATAATTCTCAAGAACCCTGGGTTTATTAACTTCTATCATAAGGCTAGGAAGAAAAACATGTGTCATTAACATTTATTAATAAATCTGACTTTTGCCTTTTCTTTTTTTAATACAGAATGGTTCTAAGAAACAGAGCATAAAATATTGGAAGTCACAGAATCTTCTCCAACTGGACACCAGATCCCAGGAGCCACTATTCAGATGAAGAAATGTGGGCTCTACATCTCATAAAGGCTAGGAAGGGGAACTAAACTAGATGCCAAATGTCTGAGTATTTTCATTTATTGGAGCTCATCATAGTTCTGTGGGGGTATTCTTGTCTTAGTTACAGAGTTGGGGAAATGGCACGATTTGTCCATGGCCATTCAGCTCTATGTGACTGAGTCAGGGGAGGAAGCCCTGCCTGCCTCTGAACTGTGGGTGGTTCCTCTACCACACAGTATTCAGCCTCCTGGCTTAGTGAGGTTGGAGGACTCCACACACTGCCCTCGCTGACTGCTGTAATATAGGTTGTTCATGGTACTCACTAAAATTTTGTGCAGGATCTACTTCACCATATAATCACACAGACTAGCTCAAAGTAAGCCAAACATTTTTGAGAAATATTTTCTTTCTTCAGTCTAGAATGGTCAGCCAGCACCAGCCACCCACAACTTCAGTTATTAGCACATTTTCAATGAAAACGCTTTTGTTTTATTATCATGGAAAACTAGCCAAATCTTTCCCATAAATAGACTTTTAATTCTGTTGCTCTTAGATCTTAGGGAGTTTGTAAGGTTTATAAGGTTCATTGTTAGTTGCTTTGTACCAGCATCTGACGAATTATAAAGTTTAGCATCTATAATAAAGTCTGTTGTTGTTACATGCCTTGGGTTGGAATGCACTCATAGATGAACATTCAGTGGGTTTTCAGAGGCTGTATATAATATGGGAAGAGATTGTCCATCGTTTTGGAGTATTTGAACCAATTACCTTTGGGTTAGCAGTGCAACTGATTGCCCATGAGGCCATCAGAGCTCCCATCTATAGGGTTTAATGTGGGCAAATCTGCTACCAAGGACATCTTTAAAGTACTAAAGAGCAAGGATATCAGTTGAAAAACAAAGGTGTGCCTAAGGCATGTCATGGCATTATTGGCATTACACTTTTACAGCATTAAATTCTTTATATATATGTGAAAGTTTGAAAATGAACAAGGAAGAACAAAGAAGAATCAAAGCCTTTGACTTGTGGTCTTGGTTAAAAGCTGAAAATACACCATGAGCTGCCAAAAGAACAAATAAATCTGTCTTGTAGGAAGTGCAGCTAGTAGGCTCCTTAGAAGCAAGGATGGTGAAACTTTGTCTCATATAATTTGAGTGTGCTATTGTTGTTGCTGTTATGTGCCGTCAAGTCATTTGCGAGTCATAGCGACCCTATGCACAACAGCC